GAGGAGGAGGAGGAGGAGGAGGAGGCGGAGGAGGCGGCGGCGGCCGGCGGCGGCGGCGGCGGCCGCAGTCTACGACGAGGCCTTGTTGGCGGCTTACGCGGAGCACGCGGAACTGGACCCGCTGACAGAGCTACAGCGGGCGCAGTTCGGCTGCCCCTGCAGACTGCCGGGCGCAGCCTAGCCTGCGCAGCCAGCAGCAGCTGGCGCTGGCGGGGCCGCTTCCAATGCGCAGACCTTGAGCGGGGTCCGGGATCGTACAGGCCTCGCTTGCCTGGGGGACCTGGAGTCTTGCAGACTCTCGCTTGCTGGCGCCTGCCGCGACGCGCTGGCGGGGCTCGCGCAGCTCGCGCCACCTCCGCTTCGCCGCGGCGAGGAGCCCCCCGAACTGTCCACATGGCGAGAGCTGGTTGAGGCGCCAACCCGAAAAACTCTAAAAGGCCCGAACGCGGAGGACTGACCGAAAGAGTTCTATGTCCTGGAGCCAGAGGGGAGGGCCTTCTTGCGCTCCTGCGGCGGGCCGCACGCATCCGGGTGGCAGACAGCTGCGCCCAAGCAGGTTCGCAAGCGACTGGAGGACGCGGACTGCAGGGACATTGTCCGCTGCTTCCTGGGGCACGACGCAGCGCCGCCTGGGGCCACCTGCTGCGACCGCGCCCGCGTGGGCGAGCGCGCCGGCCCGCGCTGCGGCGAGGCGCTCTGCGGCAAGGCCCGCCGCGCTTGGCGCTGCTCGCGCGGCGGATGAAGGCCCGTAGCGGGGACCTGGGGCGCGCTTCGCAGCGCATCCACGCAGAATACGGCAACCGCGCCGAGCGCTGGGTCCACGTCCTGGCCTGGGACCGCTGGGCGTGGCGCTGCGCCGTTTGCAACGCGCGCGGGACCGCCTCGGCGCGGCCAGCGGCCGCATGCGCCACCTGCGGAGGCGCCCTGCTTGCCGCGCGGGAAGAGGCCGTCTTGGATTTGGAGGTGCAGCCAGCGGCTTGGCCAGCCGTGCGCCTACTTCTGCGTCTCAGTCTGGTGCGACGTGCCTGGGGACGCCGACTCGCTGGGCGCCGCCGCGGGCTGGCACGGCGCTGTGAACGCTGTCGCGGAAGCCGACAAACATCTGCGGTACCCAGCTGGGCAGGCACCCTGGCGATTGGCGCCACTGGCGCTGGAAACCGGGGGCCGCCGCGGCATTGCCGCTCTGCGGCCATGCGGCATCATGCGGCACCTCCGCTGCTTGGCCCGGGAGCAGGCAGCGCTGTTGGCGCCGATCGACGATGGGGACGGCGGCTTCGCCGAATCCTTTGCAGTGCAGCTCATGGCCCAGAGGGGGGCCGCGAGTTCAGCGTGGCGCTGCAGCGAGCCACCGCCCTGCAGCTGCCCAGGGGGCGGACGGACTTGCAGCTGCTCGCCACCATCGTGCTGCTGGAGTTCGAAGAGCGGAAGCGTTTGTCAGTGCGTGGACTTTTCTTCATTGTTGCAGGATCAGGACGAGGATGAGGATGAGGAAAGCGCCGCCACAGACGACGACGACGACGACGCGGCGGCGGCGGCGACGACGAACACGACGACAACTAACGACAACGACGAGGACGGCGGCGGCGACGATGACCACGACGACGACGACGACGACGACGACGACGACGACGACGACGGCGGCGGCGACGACGACGGCGACGGAGACGGCGACGGCGACGGCGACGGCGACGGCGGCGGCGGCGACGGCGACGGCGACGGCGACGGCGATTGTCACGGCGACGGCGATTGTCACGGCGACGGCGACGGCGACGACGCCCGCGTCGCCGCTTCGCCGCCCCGAGACAGCCGTGGCCCCCCTCCCCTCGGGCGCCTGGCGCACCGGGGTGAGCGGAGGCCCCGAAAACGCGGCGGCGAGCGGCGAAACCCGCCGCGCGCGAGCGGAGCCCGGGTGTGCGCGCTTGGTGCCATGGGCCCGCCCAGCCAGGGGATCGGCGACGCCGTCGGGCCGCCCCCCGAGGCGGGCCCTGGAGGGGGCAGGTCTACGAGGATGTCCCTCGGCGACCACAAGGGGTGTGGCTACGTTAGGGTGTGGTTTGCGATTGCGTCGTTGGGGTTTGGAGGAGGGCACCAAGTTGCCGCCTTCGGGCCTCTTTGTGGCGCGGCGGAGAGCTCAGCCGAGGTCCTCGACCGCTCCCCAGGGTGCGGGTTGCAAACCGCACCCCCTGCAAACCATACCTTTCGGAGTCGCCGCATCCTCGATTTCGGGCCCGCCGTGCTTTGGTAGATTTCCCCGCTTCGCATATGCGTCGGAAGTGCGCACGCAACGATGTGCAGAAGTGGGGTGGAGGCCTTCCGCCTCGGCAGAGCGTGGCGGATGCTTCTGCACAGGCACGGCGGAAGCAGCGACGGCCTTGCGGGGCGGACACGGGCACCGGCGGAGCTTGAACAGCAGGGCGGACCTTCCCGCCCGCCCAGGGCACTGCGGATCCGAAGCGAGGGGAGGAAGATATTTTTCAGGATAGAGGGTTTCTCCTCGCGGTCGGCCCCTGGGGCCCGCCATCGGGCCCCAGGAGGGGCAGAAACGGGCCTCTGAGACGGGCGATGGCCCCAGGAGGGGGGAGAGCGGGACCTCCTCTTGAGGCCGCGGGCTGAAGTGGTGCTGGGGAGGGGAGCGCGGAGAGATGAAAGGGGGGGAGGGAGGGCAGGAGGGGAGGGAGACAGTGCGGGAGGGAGGGAGGGAGGGATGTTGGGAGATGGGGGAGGGGGGGAGGGAGGGATGGATGGAGGGAGGGAGGGAGTGGCGAGGGAGGGAGGCAAGGACGAATAACTGAAAGGGGAGGGAGGGAGGGAGGGATGGGGGAGGGGAGGGAGGCGGCGCCGGAGGCGCCGCCAGGAGGCTTCAGCGCCGCCCCAGCAAGGCTGCGCGGACCCCCGAGAGTTTCCGTTCATGCAGTGTTCTATTCCTCGAGTACTCCAGATTTCGTAATAACAGGGAGGGGGTCACAACCCTCCCAGACGAGAAGTTTTAGACCCCCCAGACTATCCATGAAAGGGCGGCCTTTTGCCCAGACCCCCCCGAACCCTCCAAGACAGCTCAAATTAGACCCCCCCCCCCGAATGTGACCCCCCCACATTGTTATGGAATCCGGAGTACTCTTGGCCGCGTCATAGTTCCAGCTTCGCTGTAGTCTCAGGTATGGAGTGCAATGGAAACCCGTGCCAAGGAACGCCCTGCTTACCTCCAGGGTGCCCCGTGTTTCTTGGGTTTCGATGATTTTGCCACGGGCAGCGTGACGTTCCCACACCAGAAATCAATGGACGTTTTGGGGTCTCAAGGTTAGTTTCTTGTGGAAGGCTTCTTGTGGTCGAGCTCCTACTGTATGAAAAGGTTCTGGCCAGTCTGTGCATCGGGTTGGCATGCTGCGCGCGGCGTTCCAAAGGAGCGCGCCGAGCTCGGCCATGACCAGGGTCGGTATCGTTGAACCAGCCCCTTGTCCCCTATCCCCATCCCCATCCAGATCCCCACCATCTCAGCACCCCTGTTGGGGTTCTACCCCTCGAAACCCGAAGGAGAGCCTATACACATATGTATGTATGCATGCATGCATGCATGTATGCATGTATGTATGTTTGTTTGTTTGGTTATTTGATTGTTTGCTTGCATGTATGTATGTACATATGCATGTACGCATGCATGAATGTATGTATGCATGCATGCATGTATGTATGTATGTATGTACACATGTATGTATGTATGCATTCATGCATACATGCATTCATGTCTGCATGTAGGTATGTCTATATGCCAGTGTATGTGTTTGTGTATGTATATGGGTTTGTGTATGTGTACGCGCATGTGTACGTGTATGTGTATGTGTATGTGTATGTGTGTGCATGCATATATGTACGTATGTATGTGTACATGCATGCATGTATGCATGCATGCATGCACGCGTGAATTCATGTATGCATGTATGCATGCATGCATGCACGCAGACACGTATGTCTGTGTGCATGCATGCATGCATCCATGTATGTATGCGTGCATGCATGCGTGTCGGTATGCGTCTGTTATGTATGCATATATGTAGGTATGTATTCATGTACGCATGCATGTGTGTATGGATGCATGTATGTAATGTAATGTAGTTTAATTTGTTGTGATGCAATGTACTGTAATGTAATGCAAAGCAATGTATGCGTGGATGTATTGCTGCATGCATGTCTGTCTGTCTGCCTGTATGTATGTATGCATGTATGTATGTATGTTTGTATGTATGTATGTGTATATGCATGCATGCATGCATGCATGTATGTATGTATGTACGTATGTATATATGTACGTACGTATGTATGTATATATATATATATATATGTATGCATGTGTATATAGGTCTCTCTCTTTATATATCCGTAAGGGTTTCGCCCCCTGCCGCCGGCCCCCTCTCTTGGATAATGGGCAATGCAAGAGCGAAAGCATGAGGCCTTGGCGCCGCCGTGAAGCAGCGTCGGGACTTAACGCGAAGAGGATGAGTAATCGGCAAGACAAATTGAGATTCTGATGATATTATTGAATTCGGTGTTGTATTTCGAGGGCTTATGGCTTCGGATACGCGAATAGCGGCAATTCACTATGGTTTACGGCTTCGGGCTTGCACATGTAGGATAATTTGCGCAGGTTTATGGCTTCGGAGACGCGAACACATTGTAATTTACGAGGGTGTATGACGTCGGACACGCGATTATTGTATAGTGTACGGGCGTTTATGGTTTGGGTCGCAAGTATTGCATCATTTTCGCAGGTTTATGGCTTCGGAGACGGGAATATTGAACAATTTCTACGAGGGTTTATGGTTTCGGAGACGCGAATATTGCATGATTTGCAAGCGTATGTGGTCTCGGGGACGCAAGTATTGCGTAATTTACAAAAAGGCTTCTGGCTTCGGGGACACGAATATGGTGTTTTTTCGAGGGTTTATGGCTTCGGGGACGCGAATGTTGTAATTCACGAGGGTCTATGGCCTCGGGGACGCGGATAGCGTGTAATTCACGAGGGCTTACGGCAACTGGAATCTGGAACTGGTGCAGGGAACAGCAAACCTTCGTCGTACAGCCTTGTGGCGGCCTCACAAGGGGGCCGGCGGATATGTATGTATGTGTGTATGTGTGTATGTGTGTATGTATGAATGAATGTATGTATGTATGTATATATGTATGTATGTATGTATGTATGTATGTATGCATGCATGCATGCATGCATGCATGCATGCATGCATGTATGTATGTATGTATGTATGTATGTATGTATGTATGTATGTATGTATGTATGTATGTGTGTGTGTGTGTGTGTATGCATGCATGCATGCATGCATGCATGCATGCATGCATGCATGCATGTATGCATATTCCTCTTCCTATATTTTTATAAGCCCGGGCGGGGGGAAAACCCGCCACCCCCCCCAAACCGGACTCCCGGGATCTGGGGCTTTGGGACCCTCCGGACGGGCCTCGAAGCGGTTCCCGGGCCTCGCAGGGCGTTTTGCCAAGCCTTCCCAGCACACCTAGGGCGATCATGGGGGTCATCAGAGACGTCCCAGGGACCCCCAAGACAGCACAAGAGCGCTCCAAGAGTGACCGACGTGACTTCAAGATGGCCCAAGAGGCCTCCAGGACGGCCCCAAAGAGGCCTCCAAGAGCACTCCCAAGAAGGCCCTCAGAGGCACAAATAATTGATTTTCGGATGGTTTTTGGTGAATTTTGGGGTTCCCTCTTTTCGGCTTCCCGACGCTCCAAGACGGCGGTCTTCTGGGCGTCCGAAGCCGCCTGGGAGGCTCCCAAATCGCTCCACAACCATCCGAAAGGGCTTCCAGGCAGTCCAAGAGAGCCCCCAAACGGCACAACACGGGTCCAAGATGGCCCTCAGAGAGCCCCATGGCGGCCCAAGGTGGCCCCAAGACACCCTCCGAAGCATTCCATATCGTGACCTGGTCGTTCAGGGAGACCGCGGCTGGAGGCAGGGTGGCCCGAGGAAGCCCCCAGAGGCCCCTAGAATACGCCCAGGAGGCTTCCAGAAGGCCTTAAGGAAGCCTGAAACAACTTTTGTGAAGCCCCCAGAGGCCCTCCAAGGAGGAGCCTCCGCAGAAAAGAGCTGATGAGGATGGCGAAAATAAGGACAAAGAAGCATGGAGGAAGGATACCGAATAACATCATTATAGCGGCGATGCCGGAGAAGGCAGCAAAGAGTTATCGCTAAATTGTCGGCTTCACATTCCTGCTATTCAGCCTGCATGCCAAACTTCAAGGACCAAGCTGCATGGCGCGAAGCGCCACTGCAGTCTTGTGTGTGTGTGTATATATATATATATATATATATATATATATATATATATATATTCCTGTTCCTATATTTTTATAAGCCCGGGCGCGGGGGACCCCCAACCCCCCAAAACCGGACCCTCGGGATTTGGGCCTTTGGGACCCTCCAGACCGGCCTCGAAGCGGCCCCCCAGGCCTCGCAGGGCGTTGTGCCAAGCCTTCCCAGCACACCTGGGGCGATCAGGGGGGTCATCGGAGACGTCCCAGAGACCCCCAAGACAGCACAAGAGCGCTCCAAGAATGACCGACGTGACCTCAAGATGGCCCAAGAGGCCTCGAGGACGGCCCCAAAGAGGCTTCCAAGAGCACTCCCAAGAAGGCCCCAAGAGGCAAGCATCATGGATTTCCTGTTGTTTTTTTGGTGAATTTTGGGGTTCTCCTCTTTTCGGCTTCCCGACGCTCCAAGACGGCGGTCTTCTGGGCGTCCGAAGCCGCCTGGGAGGCTCCCAAATCGCTCCACAACCATCCGAAAGGGCTTCCAGGCAGTCCAAGAGAGCCCCCAAACGGCACAACACGGGTCCAAGATGGCCCTCAGAGAGCCCCGTGGCGGCCCAAGATGGCTCCAAGACACCCTCCGAAGCATTCCATATCGTGACCTGGTCGTTCAGGGAGACCGCGGCTGGAGGCAGGGTGGCCCGAGGA